CTTGACTACCCATATGTAAACTATAATAATTTAAAACTTGGGGTTCCAGCCCACTGACAGCTTCCAATAAAGCTATAACTAACACTGGTATATGTGGCTTTAATAATTTACCAGAGTTTTTACTGATATCTAATATAGTTGATAATCTATAAAATAATGTAACCAGTTTATTTTCAAATATGAAATATGAATGCATGAAACAATAACTAAAGAAATCCAGTAATGTCAAAACTACCTCTTAAAAAAAAACACGAGATATGGTAAAAAGTGTGACATATAGAAGTACTCACCCAATTTGTCTAACTTCTTTCACTGTACTATTTAAAGTATTAGTTAATAAACAGGGTAATACTGACTGTATAGCTCTTTCTCCTACTTTACCATTATTAATATCACATATTTTAACAGACACCTAAATATAACATTACCATTGTTCATATCAATTATTTTATCAGATACCCAAATATAACATTACCACTATTAATATCACGTGTTTCAACAGATTCCTAAATATAACATTACCATTGTTCATATCAATTATTTTATCAGATACCCAAATATAACATTACCACTATTAATATCACGTGTTTCAACAGATTCCTAAATATAAAATTACCATTGTTCATATCAATTATTTTATCAGATACCCAAATATAACATTACCACTATTAATATCACATGTTTCAACAGATTCCTAAATATAACATTTCAATTAGTAATATCAGATATTTCAACAAATTCCTAAATATAACATTACCATTTTTAATATCACATGCCTAAATATAACATTTCCATTATTAATATCACATATTTCAACAGATTCCTAAATATAACATTACCATTATTAATATCACATGTTTTATCAAATACCCAAATATAACATTTCCATTATTAATATCACATATTGCTAAATATAAAGTTACCATTATTAATAGGACATACTTTTATCAGAAACCTACAAATATCAATACTGAGAAACTCAACAATCATTTGTTAGCAATATATCTAAGAAATCTACTTACTCTACTAAGAGTTTTACAGGCTGTATGGGCAGCAGTTCGTACAGATTCCTGTAAATTTAAAAATCAGAATCAAGAAAAAATCACATTCGAATTATATTACACAAGGCCTTAGTCATGGGAGTAACACATTGACTGAGGAGCAAAAACCTTAAAAACGATAACTCTTTGGTTAAACAAAATCATAAATCACAACAGTTTTTTCACAATTCACAGAAATAAAAGGTTAACTTTTTACTTTACTCTGCACATACTTGGGCAATGCTACGCAGTATGCAATGCGAAGAATTTTGTCAACCAGTTTGCCTTCACTTTTTGATTTTCAAATTTTTATCAGTTTCACATTATCTCTTTATTCAACTATCCAATCTAACCTTAATATCATCTCTGACCCGTAATAATGTCTGCCACAATTCTGGTAGTTGCTCAATAATATCATCAATATTTCTACCACGTAATAAATCATTGACAGCTAAACAACTAAAATACAATTTCACACAATTAAATCCTTTAAACACTCTGAACTCAATATTACATGTCTTCAAGTATATGATCTTAACATTATATCTTATAATATATATATCTTTAATCAATGGGGGGTGGATATTAGTCTTGAATATATGTAAATAGTCTTCAGAAGTACTAGAAATGTACGAAAATTGCTTAACTCCTTTAAAAATACTTCAAACTAGGAATTTTCCTCTATATTTCAATAAATGTCTTTCCTATATATCACGAG